TTGGTAGATGTGGAAGGGGAGAGGCCAGAAAGAGCAGGGGGAAAGCAGGTGAAAGTTTGAGTTTAATTCAGATGAAAAGCCGCTTATCTGAGAAGGCAAGACCTGCTGGTAGAGACAATCATGCTAAGGTAACTCAAAGGCAGGAGAAGAAGAGGAAGATCAGCTGAGATAGCTTGATTCCATAAAGGAAGCCACAGCCTTGCGTTTACCAGAGCTGAGAAGGACTGAGAAGGTCAGGACATTTTGGAGAGCAATTTTTCATGTTGTTGCTAGTTGCAAGTCGTGCCCGACCCATCGCGACCCCATGGACAGCATTCCTCCAGGCCTTCCTGTCCTCCACCATCCCCGGAGTCCACCTAAGCTCACGCCGACTGCTTCAGTGATTCCATCCAGCCCCCTCCTCCTCTGCCTTCCCCTTCTTCTTTTGCCATCAATCTTTCCCCGCATCAGGCTCTTCTCCAGGGAGTCCTTCCTTCTCATTAGGTGGCCAAAGTATTTGAGTTTCATCTTCAGCATCTGGCCTTCTGAAGAGCAGTCAGGGTTGATCTCCTCTAGGACTGACCGGTTTGATCGCCTTGCGCTCCAAGGGACTCTCAGGAGTCTCCTCCAGCACAATTCAAAGGCCTCAATCCTTTGGCGCTCAGCCTTCCTTATGGTCCAGCTTTCACAGCCATACTTTGCAACTGGGAAAACCATAGCCTTGACTATACGCACTTTTGTTGGCAGGGTGATGTCTCTGCTTTTTAGTATGCTGTCTAGATTTGCCATAGCTTTCCTCCCCAGGAGCAAGCGTTTTTTAATTTCTTGGCTGCAGTCCCCGTCTGCAGTGATCTTGGAGCCCAGGAAAATAAAATCTGTCACTACCTCCTTTTCTTCCCCATCTATTTGCCAGGAAATGAGAGGACCGGATGCCATGATCTTGGTTTTCTTAGATCATAGCATTCACCCTCTTTCATAGGGTGGCCTAAATTGGAGCCAACAGTATGTGACAGCAACAGATCTACAGTAGATTTTGCCTGGTTTGACTCAGAATAAGCATCAGCTACTCCCAAGAATAGGTTTGGAGTGGGCTTTTCTTTTTTTCCAAAATGTATTAAGAAATTTCAGTCAGTTGAAAACCATTTTGCGAACGAGCGAAACGTGAATCAAGACTTAAGTCATAAACAGGACCAAACTGCAAAATACAAGCCCCATGAGAGGCATCCTAATTCTTGCATTCAGGTTGCCCAGCAGCCCGATCCGAAGAAGAGGGCCAGGCCTTCTTGCTTCCCCATCTTGGTGCTGTCCAGATGTTGTGGGCAGAGGCTGCTTCCCCCGTCTTACCTGCCCAGCCGGGCCACTGGCCATGGGCAGGACAGGAGATATGCTCTCCACTTACATGGAGGGCACCAGGGTGAAGCTCTCTGGGAGAGGATGGCATTCCAGCGGTGGGAGGGCAAGGGCAGAGCGGGGGGGGGGGGCAGCAGGTTGCAAGCACCTCCTTCCAAAAATCAAGTCTTATCCATGCCATCGACTCGTCACTCGGAGACGCCGAAGCCAGAGGACCTGGCTGGCGTGACGTGCACGGAGCCAGGGCACGGCTGCAGTTGAGAGCAGGACTGCAGAGGCCAGAATCTAGCGCAGCCTCTGTCTCTGTGTGTCCGACCGACCCCGGAATGCACTGGGGGAATTACCCATTGACAGGGCCGGTGATCCTGTCACGGCCGTATTTACACTAAGAATCGGGAGACATGACTGGCAGTCGGCACGGCGAGTGTGCCTCTGGTGATGAGGCTGGCCGGACACGTGTGCGAGCGCATACATGTGCCCGCTGCACATGCGCAGGCAGCAAAGAAGGCCTGTTTTGCTGCTGCCACTGCGTCCATCCAGCAGAGCTTTTCCGGGGCTCATCTTCCCCAGTCAATCTGGTGCTGGAGCCTCACAGTCCTGCTGGGATGATTCTGTGAGGCTCTCCAACAGGGTGAAAGTTGCAGGGTGTCTGTTGGATGGCTTTGCAGTGTCCTTGTTGCTCTTCTTTCTGGCAATTTGTGTGTTTGGGGGACGGGGGACACGAAACAGCCAAGGAAGAGGCAGGCCGCCTTGGAAGATATTTGTATCCTTCTACTAAGTTAGAGTGAAAGCCCAGACCTATGGGATGCCCATTCTGCTATGGTTCAGTCCATTTTCGCCTTGAAATAACTGCTGTGCTGGAACTGGAAACTGCATCTTATTTTTTCCCAGTTGAATCCTGTGCTCTTCGATAGTCTTATTAATGATCTGGATGAGGAAGGGCAGGGAATGCGTATCAGATCTCCACATCCTGTAAAACTGAATGGGATCGCTGGATAGACAAGTGTCAAGGTGATCTCGATGGGGACGAGAGCTGGGCTGAAAGGGAAGGAGCCTTGAAGGCCATCAAGCCCACCCCCAGCTCGGTGCAGGTTTCCAAGCGAGAGCATTCCTGGCAGATGGCTCTCGAATGCCATCTGCCCGCCAGCTCCCTAGGTCATGGGTTCCCGTCTCAGCGCTCTAACGACCAGAATCTGGCTCCATGTAACTGAAGCCCATTGTTCCATGTCCTGCGCTCTGGGATGATGAGAAGAGGTCCTGGTTTTCCTCTCTGTGGCAGCCTTTGAAGTGCTTATGGAGTGTGATCCTATCTCCCCTCAGGCTCCTCTTCTCCAGGCGAAACATGCCCAGTTCTTTCCGTCTCTCCTCGCAGGGCTTTATCTCCAGTCCCCTCTTGGTGTTTCCAGTCCCATCCTTGCGTCCCTCCTCTGAGCCTTGGGAGGTAATGAGCAGCCCCTCTTTGTTTCTTTAATTATTTGCTGCTAAAAGAAATAGGGGCAGAGGTAAAGTTGGGGGCAGCCCAGCTGTGGGCTTGTCACCACCACCTTTTGCCCTCCCTCCATGGCATTTGGCCACAGATCAGCGGCCCCTCACGGGTTCACGGTTCCACACGCATCCAGTCCTTGCCCAGGCAGGCCGTTTAGGGCTCCCTCGGTGATCTGGATGGACAGTGGAGCTGTCGGGGTAATTCGGAAGTTCGAATCCAAGAGGCACTGGATGAAATCCAGGCAAGAACCTTTCCTGTTCTTCCAGGCAAATTTCCTCCGGCTGCGGTGTGTGTGCTGCACCTCACACAGCGCAGCAGTGGTTGTCTCCAACTGGGTTGTGCGGTTGCCTACGAGGATGCGCGTCTCGGTCACACTGAGAGCCATTGTGGGGGTTGTGAGAATGCTCGTCTGGCAGAGCCACTCGGCCATGAAGCTCCCTGGGTGACTTCAGGCCAGTGGCTTACTCTCAGTCTAACCTACCTCGCAGGGCTGTTGTGAGGATAAAAGGGTACTATGTAAGTGGTCTTGAGTTCCTCACGAAGATGGGACATTACTGCAACATGTGGATGTCTTATTTCAGGCTTCCCTGGCACAATGCCTTCCAGGTGTGTTGGAATACAACTCGCTGGTTGGGAATGGTGGATGTTGTAGTCCAGTACCTCTGCAAGGCACTGCGCTGGAAAGGCTGGGCTGTTTCCGAAGTGGACAGGTAGTAATTAACTTTTGATTCTGTCGTCTCCTCCTCCTCCTCCTTCTTCAGGTATTTTGAATTTTATGAAGGTCCGTTTGACTACAACTCCACAAAATGTCTGGAACTGAGGCGAGAGATCATTGAAGTGAAGGTTCTCTCAATGTAAGTGAGGGTTTGGGGGCGATTATTGGAAATCAAAATGTCGTTGCGAGATAATTTTCTTTTCTTTTCTAACTTCTTTTATATCGTTTATATTTTTTATTTTATATTATTAATTTTAAATTGTTATTTTTGTATTGTATTGTATTTTATTGTGTTGTAAGCCGCCCCGAGGCTTCGGCAAGGGGCGGCATAGAAATGTTCTAATAATAATAATAATAATAATAATAATAATAATAATAATAATAATAATAAAAAACCCTCAGCCAAGGACGCATCGACACAGGAGGGGAATAAAGGCCTTGAGCCTCCTCAAGCCAGCCTTGAGCGCATAGCAAGAAATGTTTGGATCAGTCCAGGAAATGCCCGGCTAAGGCACACAGAATCACCATGTCTGACTCTTGCCAGCATCTTGGTTCCAGCATCTCCTTACCTGTGTTTTTCTAGCTTCCTTTCTGAAAAACAAGAGAAACACCTTTCCCCTCCTTTTAATGTTCTCTTTCTCTGGGAGATGTCCATGTAGTGATGCTCATCTGATCTGAAGTAAAAACACGACCTAGTTCTTTGAGAGTGACTTATGGAAGATCATAAATCATATCCATTTTAAATATTAAACTTCTTCTCTGTGGAAGGAGAACCTAATGGGGTTCAAGACAAGATGAGATAAATGTATCAAGGGTACATACTTTGTGTCAGCTTTTAAATTTGATATAGAAAAAGACAGTTTTACTGTAATATTGGGGTGTCCTCTCAGCTCTTCTTTTGAGGCAGTAGAAATGGCTGTACATTTATAGACAGGCCCCCAAATTGCTTAAAAATGGTCCATTGCCCAGTTTTTTTAAGATGGTATGGTGGAGGATAACTATTTATGGACAAAAAATGCCTGTTGTTTTGTGCGTAACGTGTAGAGCTTGTATATTGCGAATGCCACCCCTGTCCCCATTTTTACAATGCGTTTACAACCCACTCTGGGCCTCTTGCACGTGCGTGTTAGCACACGCCTGGAACATGGAATATTGCTCTTACTGTGACAATGCCAACAGGCAGCTTTTACACAGATTTAATAAAATAATAAATAAAACATTAATACCTGTAGCGCAACACTTTCCCTCAGAGTGATTGGCCACTGCATCCATTGTGGTATGGTTTAGATCCCATCATTTGGGGAGGTTAAGTCGACGAGAGACTGACGGACTCGATGCTCAAGCAAATCACTTTTACCTTCTGTTCTTTTCACCAGCAAGGAGCCTGTGGTTCCTGCAGACTTGCTAAAACCTCTCAGCTGTGCATTTCTGTGGGAGGTCGTCAGGGCTGTGTGATCTCTGAACGTGGGAAAGAGAATCGGCAGTTGTGTTCCTCGAGAGGGGCCCGTAGCCCCCCTCTCTTCTGCCCCCTCGTGGCAGGCAAAGTCTTTCGTTTGCAGGGAGCATATATATGCTGGGTTGTAGCTGAAGGAGCTGGGTGGGTCCCGTTTATCCCTTTTATTATTTTTAATTGCGCTTTTGCTACATGTGTTGTTAGGGTGGTTTTAATTAAGTTTTTGTTTGTATTCTGCTCTCTTGACAGTTAGCACCCCTGAGCATCATTTTGACAGAAAATATAGATCAAATAAATATGCGAACAAACGCTTTCCCCATGCCTCCAATTTGTTCCTCCATTACTCCACTTCTAGGGTGAAGCAGACAGAGTTGTTTGACAGGTGGAAAGATCTCCAGATGTGCAAATGGCAGATGAATGTCAGCGAAGCCAACCTCTTCAAGTAAGACGGGTCTCAGGGAAAACGAGATGGCAGAAAACCAGGTGGCCACGTTCTCTAGGCAAAAGCACATTTTGATACATTGCAAGATCTGTGGTGGAGATGGTCCTTCTTTCTCCAGGGTTTCTATTATGGTTTTAAGTTGTTTTCTGTTGTTTCATTGATATGCATATACCTTGCTTTAGAACCATGCAGGAAAGGTTTGGCTATTAATTTAAATAATCAATCAATCAATCAATCAATCAGAGGGGGCTACCCATTTGCTCACAATGATAACCCAGGAGGAGAAGCTGTTTAAAACTTCCCTTCCCCTTTCCTGAACTAATCACAGATGTGGATACACCCTGCCTCACTCCTTGCTTTCAGTATCTAACATATTTCCTTCATGGGGCAGGCAACAACTTTGGAAGATGTTCTCTTTAGGAAAACATGAGATGGGGAGGGCTTAGTTCTTCTCCCAATGCTGCTCCTGGGAGTAGATTTGCCCTTTGTTTCCTTCCAGCTGCATTTGAATTAAAAACACACATACCAGAAGACGGATTCCTAGAACTTCCGTTTAACATGTAGTTTGACCTTCACCAAGGACATCAGTCTGACTGGATGCGACTAATTCGGACTGGTGTTTATATGGTCCTCCCTATAGAAAAAAAAATACTGTTTGACATAGCAAACTGTCATCTCAGGAAGAAGGGTTCTAGCTGAATTGTTTCCTTGGCCTGCTAGTTTTCCATCTGTGAGGGTCTCTAAAATATACATTTTACTATTCTGTGATTTGACACAAGACTGAGTTGAGCATTGGGCCTATGAGAAAAGAGAACTTGGGTCTTGAACCGGGGCTGAGAGGGGATTTACTGGTCGATCTCTGAGTGATTTCCACCCAGGGATTCTGGCTTGCAAGTATTTCATAACACCGAAACGAAACGTTAAGCTGATGAACCTGAGAAGGGCCAGGGAGAGGCAGGCCTGGCCTGGCCGTGGTGGCTGGGAATGATGGGTCTGCTCATTGGGAGAGCACCAGGGTGGGACGGCTGGAGCATGTGGGCTTCGAGCCACTTCCCAGGGCTTCCCCAGCGCTGGGTGAAGGTGCCCGGGAGTTAACCTGGCAGCTGAAACGTGCGAAGCATTGCTGCTGAGCCGGGAGCGCCACTCCTCGTCTGCCAAGGGGGGAGAGAGGAGCACCACACCCGCTCCCCTGCCCCAGCCACCTTCCCTGCCCCAAGCAGGTGCCCACGATGGTGGAGCAGGCAGAGCAAACCCATGGCCAGGGCAGAGGGACCGTGTGTGCTCTCAGGGCTGCCCCACAAGCACCCCACTGCACGCGGCAGCTGCCTGGGTCAGTTTCAGGCTTGAGCAGTGGATCCACGTAAGCCTCTCGGTCCTTCCTAGGTCCACGCTGTCGAGGTGCTGCAATGCACCAGCCTTCCTCTTCACCACCCAGAGGAACACGCCTTTGGGGACCAAACTGAAGTACGAGGTGGATACGAGCGGCATCTTCCACATCAATGAAGAGATTTTCAGAATCTTTCCAAAGGTGCAGCTCCTGCTTTTCTCCCAATAGGTTGACCCAGGCACGTGTGCCGTGTCCATTCAGACCCTGCCTTCTGGGTTGACCTCCTGCATTAGCAGCCTGGTTAGACCGTCTCTGCCATCAGACTCCTCTGAGAGGCAGGGAAGGTTCTATGGAGCACATTGTGTCCCAGAGATGCCAGCCCAGAGCCTGGTCTGAAGGCACAGAAGGCATCCGCCATGTTGAAGCTAAGCAGGCCTGGGGCTGGCCTGAGCTTGGAGGGGAGACCACCTGGGAACTGCATGTAGGCGCCTTGACTTCCACAATGGGAGAAAGGTAGGATACCAGTATCATGAATAAATTTAACATATATCTGTAGGGAAAATGACAGATCAGTTGCCTGACCCTCTCTAGAAGGGTTGCAGGAGGATTGCTTCTGATATACAGTGGGGCCGCTCGCCCAATGGATGTAGCCGTGGCATTGCTGTCAGTCAGGAAGCAGAAGTCTGTCTGACTGCTTATCTGCAGGCAGAGTCCTACAGCAACAGCCTTTAAGGCATCAGCATTTTAAAACTGCATAGGCAGTGATGTCTGGCTGTGTTCAGCTAGAGGTGTGAAGTATTGGAAGAATGACCAGAAAAAGGAGGGGAGATAAAAGATTACCCCCACTTTCCCCCTGTTTTTTTCCCCAGGGATTTTTGGATTTTTTTCTGGCGTGGGGTGCTTTGTTTCCTGATTTTTTCCTGTGCTTTTGCCCCAAGCCTTTGCATCTCTAGTTCGGACAATCCTATTTTGGCTTCCTAGTCAACGGTTTCCTTCGGATGTATTTTTTGTGTCATGAAATCACTCATAAACTATGCATGTGCTAACAGTGGAATTTGCACACTTATGTAAGCAAGCCTTCCCTTAGACAGCTGTTACAAGGAGCTGCCGAGTCAGTTCCTCTTAATCCAGCGCTGCCAGCAGCTCTCCAAGGTCTTGGGCAGAGGTCTTTCCTGACCCTGGGACACAAAACACCGGAAATCAAACATTAGATTCCTGCTTTGCTGTTGGTCAATGGCCCTTCCTTGCATTTGGAGATGCTGCTTCATATTTTTTAGCTGGCTTGTTTATTAAAGGCATACTCCTGTACAAGCTTACACAGAAAAGGGGCTACTACCCCTAGTATGCCCAGCCCACATTACACACTTTTCAAACTGGGTGGCAGCAATTTATTCATCCCAGAATTCCATAAAGTACTCCATTTTAAAAGTACAGGGCCGCGACTGAGAAGGCCCTGTTGCTGTTACCCATCAATCTTAGCAGTTCTTCGCGATGGGCTGAACACAAAGTGCAAGACGGCTGGGGTGGCTGCGGCTGGCTCTTCGGGTAATTGGAGTCTGTTTAGGCCTCAACCAGCATTTAAATCAGGCCCAGAAACAAAATTCATTCCTCAGCCCCTCCAGGCCCAACCTACATGTGATGAGCGTAGACTTTGCCTTCAGAGGTGGCTCTGCCCCATCACAGCTGAAGTGTCTGTGAGTATGATGGTATGACGAACAATTCAAAGTCCCAAACCACGAAAGCATTGCTGAAATCTCATAATCACTGCCAGATTGCTTCTGTCAACCTGGATAGAATGGGATCAGGTATAGGAAAATCAAGAACTGTGCATGTTTGTAACATCATGTACCAGCCCAGAGTCAGTGGGGCTTTCCTAGAGCCGCCCATGAAAATACTCCATTCAGCTATTCCAGTTTTCACTGTTTACCGGATTTTCCGCGGTTGAAAAACAAAGGCTGGAGAAGGGAAGGGGAAATGTGGGAAAGTTACGAACAGGCCACAGTATCTGGTCACCACTGTGTGCATACTCGCCTGTTGTAAAATTCCATGAATGAGGCAGGGCAACTATGCATGGAAACCTTGTCTACACTTACAGCAAACACCCGTTGCTGCAAGGATTGCCACAACTAACGAACGGCCTGGTTCCTTTTCACTCTAGGAGATGCCGTACTATCGGTCCCAGTTCAAGAAATGTGCTGTGGTTGGAAACGGCGGGATTCTGAAGAACAGCCGATGCGGCCGGGAGATTGACAGCGCGGACTTTGTATTTCGGTAATGCTCTCGGACTCTCTTACCTTTGGGGTTGGAGATGTGGATAGCTGCATGTTGTCCAGAACAGCAGTGCTTGTTTATATGGATCGGCGTGGATTCATCCCTCAGCTTTCTGTCAGGAAAATGGCACCCAGTGGCTTGCAGTCATAAATAAAACTAGACTGAAGCAGTCCCGCTTGCTACAACAAGAAGAACAGGATTGCAACAGACCTGCCTCAGGGCAAGGACCGCCTTGTGTAAAGAGATTTTTGCCTACCGGCCGAAGGGCAGCAGGGAATGGGTGAACCTGGCCTGCCTTGGCAGGCAGCCGTGCAGCCTGGGGGCCACTACCAAGAAGTCCTTCTTCTGCTTCACCACCAAAGGTGCCTCTGAAGCCTGCAGTGTCCAGAGGAAGGCTTCTCCAGATCTTAAGACCTGGGCATGTTCATATGGGAGAAGACATTCTTTCCGGGGGCCCGGTCTCAACCTGGATAGCGCTTCATGAGTCGTCACCAACACTTTGAACCCTGCGCCTTGGCAGGCCGGTAGCCAGTTCACTGTTGCAGCAGACACGCTCCTGGCCTTTGTCAAGAGCTGGGCATTCAAGTCCATGGCCAAGTCCAGGAGAACCCCAACCATGTGCCCAAACCGCCAGTGATGCCCCCAACCCCCCCCCCACCAGCACAGGTTGAATCCCTACTCCCTGATTTGCCTTCCAACTGGTCTTGTCTGAATGAGGCTTTACGGGTTGTGTCACCTTCCCGTCCAGTTATGAACATCAGACACTGGTTTAGAACTAGGGCGGCCTTCTTGGATTTGGATGGGAAGGAGGGACCTTCTGGTAGTATTCTGCACCAGAACTCCAGCCAATCTCCCAGGGGTTGCATGTTGGTGTTAAGTAGCATGGAATTTTTTTTTTTGTTTGTTTGTTTGCTTGCTTGCTTGTTTTGGTTCTGATTTTGAAATTCCCAATAAAAATGTAATTTCAAATATCTCATGGCAGATGAGATAGAACTCTGAGGTAACAAGGAAATCCCCCAAAACTGACAGAAAACCATCCAGATCCATCCCATCTCCTGGAGTGGAGCATCTGAATTGGCCCCATACCCCTCTTGAGTCCCAGCAAATCTGAGCTCTGCATTGTCTATGGCAACAGAACTGTAGAACGTTCCTTCACCAACAGATCACTGTCATCCTCTTCTACACAGAAAACCGGTCCCAGAACATGTCCTGCTTGATGAATGGGGCAGATACCAATTGGGTCAGGCCCACGGAGACCACGACGTTCTGAGCCACTCCTGACATATGTCTGTTGAAGCACCTGTAGCACAACCAGCCAGGAGACTCCAGCTCCTAAGCCCAGACTACCTGGGCCAGCCTAGGAAGAGAGATGGTTGGGCAGCGAGGAAGGCAGTACGGGAACAGAATCCCTGTGCACACTCTTGAAACCAGAACCTTAGTGTATGGAGAAGTTCCATCCTTCCATAGAACCCTTTGTTTTTAGAGGTGCTTTCCCATCATTAAAGCAAATGAGTAGACCCTTTTCTGAGTGGAGACTTATGGCTGGATGGGGATTCTTAATCATCCTTTGTGGTGGTGCTGAAGATGGTTTTGCCAATTTACTCACTGGCACTCTGCAAAAGTTGAGTTATAAAAATAGAACTGTTAAAATACAACAGTTGCTTCCGTATCACACTCCCTTGAATCGGCTCCAGTGGTTTGTATTCCACTTCAGTCATCTCCATGATGAGGAAAGAGAACATGCAGTTACTCATTACCCAGAATGCTTCCTGGGACTTTCTCATCATGCAGTTTTCTCTCGCCTTGATAACGTCTCACACAGTTGTTCAATTTCAGGCTGAGCAGCCGCTGCAATAAGGAAGGACGCAGCATTTCAGACGAAGCAGGCACAGGCTGCGATCAGTGTGTGAAAAAGCACAACCGTCTTTGAGGGGGCAAAGCAAGGGAAGGGTTTAAGATGATGGCAAAAGAACTGCAACCCAAGGGACAGCTGCATCTCTTTATTTAAAGTAATTCAACTGAAAGCAAGCATAAGATGCCATTTCCAGTTCGAACTCAGTAGCTGTTGGAGTAAAAATAAGCACCGAATTGAAGCAAAATGGTTATTATATAGTTCTCGGTTTGCACTGTAATCTGTGTGGGGTTTTTTTGTTGATCCTCTCAGCAGAATGCTAGATGCCGTTTGGGTCTTGATGATGGATTGAGCTGTAAAAGTAATGCACAGATATCTAAAGCGAGAGCACCAGCCTGCATTTTCTTCCCGCTTTCTCTCTTATATTTCATCTTTTCTCCAACCAGCTCAAAGGTTATTTCAGTCTTATATAATCAGGGGATGCCCTTAGCAAAATGAGCCATTTGCCATCACAACTCTGTGTTTTGCACGTTTGTTTGCACATATGTGTATGTAAATATGCATGCAAGGGGGTTTTTTTGCATCCAGTAACTTGAATTTATAAATGCAGTTATTTAAGAATTGCTCTCCCAATGCCGGTCCCTTAAAATGACTGAAACACAACAAGCAAAATAAAAGTAAAATCCGATTGCAGTACAGTGAGGACCAAGAGCAGAGCTGGGATCACAAAAAGTGCCCGTGTTCACACTGTTTGTTTTCGTCTCTTTCTGGAAAGCTAGACAGGGATGGGGATGCCCCGTGGCCTCCAAGCAGGCTCTGCTGCTGCAGACACCCCTTTCTCAATGGCATCTCTTTTAGGTCCAGGGCCTTTTCGGCAGTTGAAATCTACATTATACTCTTACTTGTCCCACCATTTTGAGATGTCCAAAATGTTTGCCTCATCAAGTATTTCAGATAAATAGGGAATTCACGGTTTCTGTAATAGGGAGTGATGGGGTTGTTGTGCATAAAAGAAGAGTGAATAGCTTCTTGGCATGAATGGCAGGCTCTACTGTTGATTTCTTATTTTGCCGAGATGAATTTGCATTGTGTGATCTGTATGCCTTGGACCGATTTCAAAATCTTGTCATTGCAAATGTAGATCAGTAGGAGAGTTGAGTAGATTTTGTTGGGTATATTTGTGTAAGCATAGCTTTGTTTTTACTGTATGTGCATGTGTTTTGTGTCTAAATTTAGTATACAGTATCCTGGCATCAACTGTGTGCTTGTAGTGTTGGTGTGCATGTGCCATTGGCCAAGGGCCAGCATTGAAATGGCTTGCTCATCGTGAGTCGTTCCTGTCCCAGCCACAAGGCCCAGAAGGGCACATGATGCCGCCATAGGAAACTGCCTCTGCCCAGGTCATGTGGCCAGTCCATCTGGATCGGTATGGTGGACACCGCCCTTCCCAAACCAGGTCTTTTCTGGTGCTTTGGACGGGGCTCCCCTCAGCCCCAGCCAGCCTGGTCAGAGGGCAGGCTGCAGTCAGAAACATCTGGAGGGACCCAAGTTGGGCACAGCTGGGCCACACTTACTGGGAGTGGCCCCCCAGGTGCAAGCAGAGGCCGTCTCCAACATCAGCTGCAAATGGCGGGGTTGGACCTGGGACCTTGGCAAGCAGAGGAGGCGCCGTGCGGCATGCCCTTCCACCACCCGGACTGGTCCTCGTTGGTTGGGTCATTTACTGGAAGCCCAAATGACGACTTTGGCTCCACCTCCGTTCCCCAGGTGGGCACCCTCCAGAAGTGTTGGACTTCCCGTCTCATGGCTCTCGCCACCCAGGGCGGCCATCCAGGCTGGGGAGAAGAGGAGGTCACCATGGGGGCGGCAGCTTCAGTCCTCATTTAGGCCTTGTTGCCATTTTTCTGGCCTGCTCCATTGCCCATGCCAGCCATGGTAGCTTCCTGCTTCAAGGCAGAGCCAGCTAGGTAAATTGTCACCTGGTGCATCTTGGTTGCATTTTCTCGGCATTACTGGCTTCAGAGGGTTGTTTGCATCCCATGGGGCAGCCCCTGCCATGGAGGAAGAAGGGTGGCTATACATGGGGGGCTAATAACTACTTGCTTGCTGCTCTCTTCTTTAGATGCAACTTGGCCCCCATATCTGAGAAATACATCGTAGACGTTGGCGTCAAGACCGACATCGTGACGGTTAATCCCAGCATAATTACTGAAAGGTCAGTCCTTTGCCGGTCCCTCTGCCTGTACTCCCCCCCCACACACACACACACACTGTGCCTGTGCCAACTTGACAACCTGAAAGGAGAGACCATGACTTATTATGAGCTCAGGTGGTTCTTGCTCGCTTGCTCACTCTTCATAATTTCATAGCAACCGGAAATCAGAATAATTTGAGTCTCCTCCAGCACCACAGTTCAAATGCCTCAATGTGCCCATGGGCACTTTGGCAATTAGACGGTCTTAGGCTCCTCCATCATATGGAAGCTTCGCAGAGGGAAAGTGTGGCCACTGGAGGCACCTGCTAGCAAGAATATCTTAGAGCCCCATGTTGGCCCGGAGGGATTCGTAGCCAAAAGGAGAGAAGAGCAGCCAGGGTCCCTCGCTGTGCTTTGAAGTGAGCCCAGCTTCCCGCAGAAAGGTTGCTTTTTTAAAAATAGAACATGAATGCCTGTACCTTGGCCACCTCAGTGGGCACCAGGAAAGAGGCCCAGAAGTCACTGGTTGCCTATCCCAGTGCAGGGGCTGAGCTGAACGGCAATTACTACTCCTTTGCAACTGTTTCTCCCCTGTGTCAGATTTCACAAGCTGGAGAAGTGGAGGAAGCCCTTTTTCAACGTCCTGCAAGTTTATGAAAACGCTTCAGTGCTGCTTCCCGCCTTCTACAACTCCCGCAACACAGACGTCTCCATCCGGGTCAGGTACGTCCTGGACGACTTCGAGTCGCGGCAGGCCGTCTACTTCTTCCACCCGCAGTATCTCATCAACGTCTCGCGCTACTGGGCGACGCAAGGCGTGCGGGCCAAGCGCATCAGCACAGGCCTCATCATGGTGACGGCCGCCTTGGAGTTGTGTGAGGAAGTGCACCTCTTCGGATTCTGGGCTTTCCCCATGAACCCCTCAGGGACGTACATCACCCATCATTACTACGACAACGTCAAGCCTCGGCCGGGATTCCATGCCATGCCTTCAGAAATCTTCAACTTCCTCCACATGCACAGCAAAGGGATCCTGAGAGTCCACACAGATGAGTGTACCTGCTAATGCTGGAGGACCACAAGGACTTCCGTGGCTCCTGAGCCACGTGGAGACACGAAAGGAGATGCTCTGCTGGAGGACTCATTCACACGGCAGATCCCGAGACGGAAGGGTTTAGCGCCTGTCGTTATTTGTATCTTGTGAATGCAGCTTCATGCTAAGGTCCACTTTCTGGATACACGCATGGCTGCTAGAACTGGGGTCAGGGCATTCAACGTAGAAAAGTCTTATTATATTGAGAGATTTATGCAATAATATGATAGATTTAAGTTTCTTCAAAGGCTTCGCCTTCTGCCAAAGGTGGCATTTTTAGCACTATCACTTTGTAGGGTCGTCTTCCCCAACCTGGTGTCTTCATGATGCGAGGGGCTAGAACTCCCATCATTCCCATCCAGGATGCCCAAAACATCTGGAGTGTGCCAAACTGGGGACGGCTGGTGTAGGGTTACAGATGTTTGGTGAACCAGCTTTTCTCCATCACAGGAAATCATGCACAACCCTGAAACTCTTAATGAACAAAAAAGCACATAACCTAGAGACTTTAGGCTGGAAATAAGAACATGCTGTGGGACCGATGCGTTATTTCAGCTTCAGGAAAGCAACAAACCTATGCATACTTGACAAAGTAGAGGACCGAACCCTGTCGTTCTTACTCTGTGGTACTGGTGCCCGTGATCCTGAAGACCTAAGACTGCAAGGGACCCGATTCCCGTCTCCTGTCTGGAACTCCACCTGCTGGGTTCCCACAGGTACCACTGGTATGAAGGGCATGTGGGTATCAGTCCTCTCCTGGGTTGCACTCTCCAACCATGAAACGAGAACCAGTTTGGGTCTGGACAGAGTTTAGTTTTGCAGGATGTGCTTTGCTTTTCAATGAACCTCCAAACCCATCAGCTAACGCCAGGGGCAAAAGAGCAGCTCTGGAAAGTGAACCCGTCCTCCAGCCACATGCAGTTCCCCGTCATTCATTCTCGGCCCCAGAAGGGGAACGCGCAGAGTCTTTCACACACAGATCTGCTCCGGTGCCTTGCGTCCGCTGCCAAACGTTCCTGAATCCAGCAGCCTGATTTAGGATGGGAAAGGGCTCTCGGTTGTCACTGTTAAGCTGCTGGGAGCTGGAAACACTTGCTGATCCACCAGAGGTCTCCCGCAGCTCCTCATCTCCTTAGCCCCTGTGCTTAATCACCCTCTTGTTGTTACTTACAAACCTGGGGTTAAAGAAGGATAAAACGGTGGGTGCTGCCCTTCAAGGGACAGAATTGCCGTGTTGGCTGATGCATATGCAGAAGCGGGGGTGGGGGTGGGGGGCATCCTGATCCCAGCCTCAGTGGGGCAAAAGTAGATTAGGAAGCAAGCAAGGGAAATGCATGCTTGCGGAGGGAGGGAGCGTGATCAAAGCCATCCCGAGCAGCCGATGATTCAAACAGGCAGCGGGTTGCGTGAGGACAACCCTGGGGAGGGAGCAGCCGATGGAAGCTCGTTCTGGTCTCAGCCTCACTCCGAAGCATCTTCTGAGTGGCAGAGGGGGGATTTTGACCCTCTGCCCTGGAAGGATCAAAGCGAAGGTGCACCCCACCCAGCACTGGGCGCGCCGTGGTGAGGACCCCTGCGGCGGCTTTCCGCTCTCACCCGGTCACTTGGTAAGAGAGATTCACATGGATTTAATCTTCTCCATTTTAAAAACTTTTAACAAGTTTTGTTAGCTTTACTTCATGACATGACATTGTTGCCAAAACTCAGTCCGGATGTCCTGTCCAGTCTCAGCACTAGAAAGACAGAAAAGCTTCCTCGTGACCATTGCTAGTTTGGGAACAACCTTGTGATTGTTGCACCGATCTTTAGATTTTGAGATAGTTTTTTCATCTTTCGATTGCCTATACTGTGATTCATTTCTTTGGTAACAACACACGGTCCTTGCTGTTAAAACAAGGAGAAAACAGTGGTATTTAGTGCTCTGTAGGCCTTGAGTATTGTACATTATGCTGCAGTGAAGTACGGGGTCATTCGTCTTTTTAAAAAAATGTTAATCCAGTAAATATAAATACTTGTATTCATTAGAGGCCTTCATACAGAGGAAAAGCAAGGAGTAATTGATTAGATAAATATCCTTCTAATTTGAGGATGGAATTATCCTTTTGTTATTAACACAACTTGAAATGTAAATTAAAAAACCCCAAATATATCTTATTTATATGTCTTAGTCCCACTTAAAGGGGTGTGTATAAACAGGAGCCCTTTTGTACACCAATTTATTAATGATTTCATTTTCATCGACTAAGCATTTGCTGCAATCTTCAAATAGATAATTTTATTACGTTGATGTATATTTTCTTAAATTCAGCGTGTGATGAGAAAGAAAGCCTACAAATTCATGTAAGCCATAATTATAAAAACAGCAATCAGGGTATTTTTTGTCAGTTGCTGTGTCACTGTGTTTGAGAGACTGTTTAACACTTCACAATAAACCAGTTCTGTCAATTCCATTTAAAAAAATGAAATTTTGGGGTGTGTGTGTGTGGGGGGGGGGGGGATACTGAGTGTTTCTACATCCATTGATGGACCAGGTTTAACATACTTTTGTCACATGCAGAGGGAAGAACACTGCATATGTTCTGATCACTGTTGTCTCCAGCCTGCATCCAAAGTAGGAGAAACCGTATTTCCAACTAATGCATGAGGCAGACGAGTATTGAGTGACTTAATAGGGTTTAAGTGCTTAAAAGTGGGACAAGTCATTTTCATATGTATGCAATCATAAGTCTGTTCTATGGTATTTCCACTTCAGTCTACATTTCAAAACGAAACAGAAAATTTGCATTTGTTTTTGTACACAATATCTGCTGATACACACATTGTCACATGCACGTTTTCTAGAAATACTGGGGATGAAAGATGAATCTGTCCATTTCATTTTTTATATCTTAAATTCAGTTTTGAATTTTTAGAATGTCTGTAATCTTAAATCTAACCAGTTCCAACAATGGGATTCTTTCTTACAAAAATGTTTGCATGAGCATGTGTGTGCATTTGTGTGCAACTCTTAATGCATGGATTTGTGTAATATACACTGTTCAAGCAATGTGCTTCATATAGTGCAGTTCTGAATGATATTTTCATGAAGGTATGCATCTTCCTGTGCGCATCGCACCAATCTGTGTGTTTTTGTCTGCGTATTTTTATTAGAGCATTCAATTGCAAAGTTAAGCGAGGTGTGAATTTTGAAGATGAGCAAATTTCACTTTGCTTATTGATTTTAAAGGGCAAAGTAGGCAAGCATGCATTGAAATTCAAACTGAAATCATTTTTCCCTTAGCAATAGGATATTCATTCATTCATTTATTTAAAATATTTCTGTGCCGCCCCCATCGCAACAAAGCCTCACAAATATGTCTATCCCTTAGCTCTCTAGCTTTTTGTACATCCATTTCTGGCATTGTAAAATGCAGATATCACTTCTGAAGGAAAGCTCTACTCCAGTTAGCATATAGTTTGGGAAGTGACATTCTAATCTCTGGTTCGTACCTCAATGGGTCATATAGACAGTACAAGATATGGGGAACTTGCGACTCTGTATTGATCTTTGTGTTTCAGGGCAGGACTCCCAGCATCTGGTGTTCAGCTCCACTTCAAGCTAAAGATGGGAAAGCCAGCAATTTTCAAGAGCTGCAACGTTTTCCAAAAGCTAATTCAAAGCTTATTTTGGTTCCCTGCTATTCTTGACTTCAGTTTGTTTTTGCTTGTCTGAATAGGGAAAGTGCACATTTTGAATGTGAAATTAGTGCATTTCTGTGTGTACTTTTCCAGACTGCACAGTGTGAAAGCAGGGAGGTTGGGAGAAGGTGTATGTCAAGCTGCACAGGTTTTATAAATGCAGATTTTCCAAATGTGATCACACATTCGGGATTCTGTGAATGTTTCTCGGGAAACAACAGTCCTGTTTTCAGGTCTGTGAGTGGGACATGCTTGTATGACTTGAGAACAGAAGCAAAATTCTCACACATCCCTTCTTCAAAACTGGCACATTGAGCAGTATGACTTAAGAGGGCCATGTAGTCCACAATATCAGCTTGAACATAAAGTCAGCTGATGCCAAGGGCCAATCCTGCTCACCAACCCCTATAAATTCCGAGCCAGAGTCCTTTCCTTCATTGGAGCCACGTGGCTTTGGTGTGAGGTTGCTCCTGCACCAGAGTTACTGCTTGGACTTTGATCTTGGCCTTGCTTGCTCACCTATTTCTGGTCTTCTGCGGCAGCCTTGATCTCTGCAGGAGTCTGAGTCCTACTCCATCCCTTCTGAGTCTTGCCTCCTATTCTGGACAGCTGCCGAGTTTGGATCACACACCTGCTTCTGGCAGCCAGGAATCCTGGATCCTGGAACCCAGGTGCATGAAGCTCAACCCCTACTGAAACTGAGCACTACCTCAAAGACCACCTTCTCCCATTGGGTCTGCTTGGGTTTTAAGATCTGCAGTGGAAGCCATTCTCTTATCACCACTGCCATGATAGGAGAGGGTGCCCTTCCGGGGAGTCTCTCTCAGGATCTGGTCAAGGGAGGCTTGATTGGCCATCGCTGCTGTCCTGCTGGAGGGCAAAGATGCTTTTATTCAGGCAGGCCTTTGGTACACATATTGGATGGACTGTTCCAGAAGTATGTCAAGGAGGTAATTAAGGTTCAACAGGTAGTGAAGTTTCTTCCTGTCCAAAGGCCAGGACAGTGGCCTCCAGCCAAATGCTCGGATGTTGCGGCTTTCATCTGGTCAGGAAGAGCACCAGACAAAATGATCTTGAAGCTGTTTCCTCCAAGTTTTCCTTAGATAAGAGCTGCTTTTGCTGTAAGACTGAGATAGTTTCTTTACTGAAGCAGCTTCATTTCTCCCTTCCCCCAGGAGGTGGAGTGAACCTCTGTGTGCCGAGAACCTGTGAAGCCGTGGGAGAAAAGGACTGTATAAAACCTATGGCAAACAGGTCTTTTATTCTCTACCTGCGGGGAGGAGTTGATTAGTCACTTGCCCAGGCAACTTGGAGGCCCAAGGGGCATCTCATGATCTATTCAGTGTGGTCACAGATAAGGGAAGCATAAGGTTCCCCCCCCGCACTTGTTGATATTCTGCATCCATAATTCATCACTGTACTCAATATATCATCACTGACACAGGTGGGTAGGTTTCTAAGTAACGCGGAATCTAAAGTGAGGTACCTTGACGGGGCCAGGTTCCCATGGTTGAAGTAGCCCAGTTGCTGGAGGGAGTTACTTGGCTGGCTACTTCACCTGGGTGGGGTGAAAGGCCAAACCCCCCAGCATATTTTAACTTAAAGCGCTTGCTGCTGGTACCCAAGCCCTAGGGTGAGGTATTTTGAGCATTCAGAATGGGGAAGAGTGTAGAAAACCTAGCAAATCACTATGTGATTGCCACCTGGGTGGAAGCAGGTGTGCCCAGGCCGAGGTGACGGACCGAGGGAGGCAGAATGGCCATTGGGAACCTGTCGGCTGGACTGTGCCTTCAGGGGGGGCAGATGTAGCCCAAATCAGAGGTTCTGCACTGCTGGTTCATAGGTTTCAACCGTGCCATCCGACATCGCCAGACATTTCAGTCTTCCAGGTTTTTGCAAGACTCTTGTCCCTTTCCGCTTTATTCTCCTGATTATAGAACCAACCTGGAAAAATGGGTGGAGGAGCCGTGTGGGTGTTCATGTGTGTTCCCCAGAAATGGCATTTCCAGGCTGTTCATCTATTGGAAACAAAAAATAAAAAATGGCTCCAGAGATGCAAGTTTGTCATGAATTCAGGCAGAATTGATTTTGATTACAGCTTTTCATATAACGGCCATTTCCAGGAATGGGGAGCACTTTCCCTTTACAGCTGCTGGCGATAATCCCTTACTATTATTCATAAACACAAAAAGGGAAATGGAAAGAAAGAAGGATTTCTAGAGCAGCTAAAATGGCAAGCTATGATTATATGAGAGAGAGAGAGAGAGAGAAAAAGAGAGAGAGAGAGAGATGGCCAGAGACAAGAGCAACATTGGCTCCAGTACCAGGGCAACAACTTCAGGCAGGCAGAGTCCAAAAGCAGAAAGTCGAAGTCTTAGCCATGGTACAGGCCGAGGTCAGGAACCAGAGACTACGTGAGGGCAGAGCAAGGGTGTGGTCAGGAGCAAGCCAAGGGTCGGGATCCAGGAGGACAAGCAGAGATGCGGGTACCTGGGACAGGGTAAGAGGGCAGGAGACATGGCAGGGCAGGAGACATGAGAGCACAGGGACCAGATGCAGCAAGGGCCAGGCCAGGTGCAGGAGCTGGACCACAGCTTGCAGGGGGCCCTGCGTTACTGAGGCAGCACGGTGAAGCGGGATACACCGGCAAGGCAAGACGGAGGTCAGGCAAGAGGCAGGCAGCACAGCGAGGCAGCAGGACAAGGCGGGAACAGCCAGGCGGGATGCAGCACGGCAGCAAGCAGGAGGACCTGCGCTGCTCAGGCAACACGGCAAGGCAGGGGGCGCAGCAGGAGCCGGGAGCAGGCACTCCGATAAGCAGAAGAACCTGTGATGCTGAGGCCAGTTCTGGAGGGAAGAGCCTGCTCTTAGAAAGCTCTTCCCACAGGACTCCCAGCTGGTGCTTCTCAGTAGAATGAGAGCTCCAGCAGGGCCTGGGACCAATCCTGCAAATACAGTGGTGTGGCAGTCCTGGTTCTGACCATCAGAGCAGCCCAGATTCTGACAAGCTGGTGGCCAGATCCTGCCGTTAGACATAGCAGAAAATCAGTCCTGTTGCTCCCATGGGTTGGGAATACAGATGGCAGTAAGGACCTCAGTACTGAAATCTAAACCATTCAGGGATCCTCTCTTTAGCCGAAGAGCAGGGCAAACGGCTTGGGACCAGGATACCTGAAGGAGCGCCTCTTCCCTTACATGCCCTCATGCCCCTTAAGATCTGCGGGAGAGGCTCTGCTCCGGGAACCCTCTTTAAAGGAGATAAAAAGAACATCTACCTGGAGCAGGACCTTCTCTGCGGTGGCACCCAGATTATGGAATGCGCTCTCTGGAGAGGTGTGCCTGGCGCCGAGTTTATATTCTTTTTGGCGCCAGGTTAAAACCTTTTTATTTAATGGCTAGTTTAAAAATAAATTTTATCGTTAACAGTTGCTTTTTTGTTTTTATATAATTTTA